TCATGATTGTTAAAAGCCTGCCTGGAAAGGTGGGTCTTCAGCTGTCAGTGGAAGGACAAAAGGGAGGGGGGGCAACCTGACCTCCCAACGGAGGCGGGAATAGGGGATATAAGGGAGAACAGGGACAACATCCCTGGTGGTTGGGAAACTGTGTGGATGCAGGACCCCTGGACTGGGAAGTGGGAACAGGTGCGTGTTCCCAAGGCTGAGGCGGAAAGCCATAGAAGGAAAGGGTTGCCTCAAAGACCTTCATACTGGGGTGAGTCGGAGACCCGAGAATGGAGGAGAAAGCTTAGAGAGGAGAAGGAAGCCATTGCCAGAGAGAACGAAGCCCGGAGGGCATGGCATCTAGAAGAGCTGAGGAAGATGGGATGTTTCCTGGACCTTGGGGCGACCCGACAAGAGAGGGAGACCCGTCCTGGGGATGGACGGGAGATGAAGAGACCCTCCCGCTTCTGAGTGCAACTGACCATGGTTTGGGAACTGAGGGTCAGGGACAAGTTTGTGCCGGTCCATGGGACCAGAGTTTGGGAAAACATTATGGAAGAAAGCTTTTTGGTTGCCCTTGCAAGAGCCGTCGCTCGAAAAAGAGACGAGTTTGAACAAACCTGTTGTGGTTAAAACCCCGTTGGGTGAAGTAATAAATGACAACAAGCTATTTGACAAAGTGTCTGATGTTGTTTATTAAAAAAGAGGGAAGCCCAACCGAACGACCCTTCACATGCAGCAATGGTTATTCATGTTCAGATGTTTGGGTAAGTGATTTTAGACGGATAATATAATACTTTTAATATAACTGTGGCTGAGGTAGGGGTTGTTTTGTCATGTTTTAATGGAAATTCTATAATTCTGCCTCATTTTACAAAACTACAATTACATGTATGTATTTTATACTGATTTGGTTTTACTGGTCTTTGACCGTAATAAAGTATTCATTCATTCATTCATTCATTCATTTGAAAACAGTGGAAATACAGAACACTGTTTTCTGTCTATCATTAGTCAAATCCTTTTGTTTCTGCTTCCCTGAATGGAGCCTTTCTGAAGTCCCTGTGAGCAGTGATGGTCTCCTGAACAGTCCCACTAAAGAGGTGGCTACTAACCATTTTCTCACTTGCAGGACAAAAGGGATGTTAGGTAAAGAAACCATCTCTGGGACTGAGGAATCAAGTCAGAATTTAAAATGCCCCAGGTTCATAAAGAAAAATGGCTTGCACCTACAGGTTCAGAAATGTTCTGCTGTACAGGGCCTCTGGATCCCAGCAAGTTTTCACAGTTACCTGTAAACATATAGCCACGTTGACTCTTGACCCAAAGGTAGTGCTGACTGCACGAGATGACAGGCCAATGTCTTTGAAGAGCTTGGAGAAAGACTGAGTAAGAGCAACTCGAGGGCGCTCCTCGGCCACCACCACACAGGTCCGGACACCTGACAAGTGAATGCCTCTTGCCTGCCAATACATGGGGAGAAAAGGGCTTAGTCAACTGTACATTTTGCCTTTGGGAGGATCATTCTGTTTTAGTTGTAGGCTATGGAACATAATTGGGCTCCGTGTTATCCCACTTCTGTGCCCTCCCCCATCACGGAGCCACTAGCATGACCACCTCTACTTAGGAACAAAACGTACAAAGAGCACCATTCCCAGATCACGTGTTATACTTAGACCAATATCCAGAACTTTTGCACAGGGACTTTAATGACAAATGGGGAAGGAGAAGGATTGAACACACATAACTGCATTCAAAACGTCAGATCAGTTTGTACCGTCAGGGCTGCTGAGTAATCATTAAAAACAATATGCATGTTTGTGCAAATGGCAAGATATTGATCTGGTCACAGTAACACAGCAAAAACTAAACTTCTAACAATGGGATGCAATGACTCACCCTTTACAACTCTCCACTGATAAACCTTCAGCTGGCATCAAAGAGTTCAGGGCAAGCCTCAATCCTGTACTTGTTTTTACAGTACATACAATGTATTCTTGTCAAGATCAAATGACTAAACTCCTCTGATTTCTTTATTCCAGCCTCATAGAGATACACTAGTTGCATTGAATGAAACCAATGGCCTTAAAAGGTCTCAAATGGTACCATGCACCAGAGGAATGAATTCACTAAGATACCGTCAAGCTTACTTTCTACTAAATGGTTAGGAGAAGAGATCAGCAAGGTACTAGTGATGCATGAAGTGAGAAATGTTCATTTGTATTTTTGAAAAGATCCTACTATGACTGAAGTGCTTTGAGATGGCTGAAATCTTTTCTATGTTAGCACTGTTTTAAAACATTTTTGTTCTTTGGATTTTTCTTTTAAAGCATTTAAAAATATTTAAAATTATCTTAAATTACCTGCATTATTTTAAATGATTTTAATGTGATTGTACCCCAGCCTTAGATCTTGAGAGGGGACAGGTTAGAAATAAATAAACAAAAACCACATCATCCATTAGGGATGTGGTGGTGCTGCGGATTAAACCGCTGAAGTCTCTATGCTACAAGGTCAGAAGACCTGCAGTCATAAGATCGAATCCACGCTACAGAGTGAGCCCCCATCGCTTGTCCCAGCTCCCGCCAACCTTCAAAAGCATGCAAAATGCAAAAATGCATTTTTCCCTCGGTGGGAAGGTAAACGGCATTCTGTGTCTAGTCACACTGGCCATGTGACCATGGAGGATTGTCTTTGGACAAATGCTAGCTCTATGGGTTGGGAACGGAGATCAGCACTCCTGCCTAGAGTCGGACACGACTGGACAAATTGTCAAGGGGAACCTTTACCTTTACTTTACAGCATCCATTAGTTTAGCTCTTTATACTATTTTAAAACATTCCACTTTGAAATTTTAGTATTTTCTGATGTGCTGCATTTAATAGTTCCCTGTAGCCACCTTTCTTGGGTTAGCTAGTGAAAAACATCTCTCTTACTCTCTCTCCGCAGGATGGAAAAAAAGACAGATGCTCTAAGGCAAGGCTGAGTAAACAAGCCTAATTCAGACAAGCACTAAACCATGATTTACCATTACAAGACTATACCACAGTGACATTTGGGATGACATGTTTCCCTGACTTCCATTCCTGCCTTCCTTCTGCACAAGGAAAATGCTTAAAACATCTGGTTATGGTTTGAAACAAACTATAATCTACTACTTTGACTGCTTTCTGTCCATATCACAGAATGTTGATAAATTAGGGTTTCAAACTGTACTTGTTTGGTTTGTTAATGAACTACAATTTGTACAAAACATAGATCCCTATATTCAGGTGAGACAGGAAAATACACGAATTCCAAACCACAGCTAAAAGCTTTAAAAAGCCCTCTCTTTTTGTGTGGAGGGCAAAAGTGGGGAGGGAAAGAATCATATGAACCCAAGGTCACTTAGTTAACGAACTAATCATGGTTTGTCTTTATATGTGAATATAAAGTTCCATCTCCCCCCACAGATGCAGAAAAATGCGGATTAAAGCAAATATGATTTTAACAGCGAACACTAAACATAGCATAGTCTCTTGCTTCCTCTGTGGGCCAGTTATGATAATGACACTGTGGAAATATAGTACTCTAGCAAACGCTATGATCTCTGCCTCCCTCTAGTGGCCAGTTCTGGTAACTTCATTTTTAGAAATATATATTTCTAGGATTTTTCTTTTAAAAATTTTCAGACCGTGGATAAGTGAATCAGCAGATACTGATCCCCACGAGTACATTATTCCCTACATCATCCCACTACTCCTAAAAGCTTCCTAGAACAAAAGGGATCCATAGGGATCCCCAGAGCCTATCTAGAGAAGGGAATGGGAAGCTTTAAATTTCCTGAAATAGCTGCAGAATGGATGCAGTTGATGACATCACCCAAGATCCATGGTGTAACTTACACCAACAGGATTCCAACCAATAAGTAACAGAAAAT